CTTCTTCTTGTTAACTTTCTTTGGTTTTTGCAAGGGATGTGTTCAAAGTCATCAGCTATTTTAGTTTTGCTATCAATTTCTTCTTGTAACTTGATTCTTTTGTTTTAAGCACTTAGATGCTATGATATTCATTTCTTATGTATTAAAAACAGGTATTATTTCATTATGTAGGGTGTCTTTAAGCCCAATGTATTTTCCCTGTTACCTCTTATAATCATGTCTGTTTTTATTATTGTCTTAGTTCATGTTTGCCACTCCCCTTTTAAAATTTTTTTTTAAAAATTAAAAAAAATCATTTGAGATATAGTGCATTCTGTTCCAACTCCCTATGTTAACCTTGTGAATCTCTTGATTTCATATGTTTTTGGTAAACATTATAATTGATCCCAAACGCTGATCACTCATTCTTATCCCATCTTTTTCTCTATTTAATTACCCCTTTATTGGTCTTCCAGATCTAAAGTTTGTTTTGCTTTTCAATATTTCCTTCTTAGATCTTACCTTTTCTCTTAAATTCCCCTTTCCTTAACTTGTACCCTCCTATTATCCTGTTGAGTTCAGTGTATTTCTTATGTATTTCTTATTGCATGTGTGCATATATGTTTGTGTGTGTGCATACAGTTCTTTACCATATTCAGGTAAGAATAAAGTTCATGAGACTTTGATTTCTTTCACTTCTCCTCATTTGTATATGTTTCTGGCATATCTCAGTAATGAGAAATTATAAGGTTTTTTTGCCTTCTTGATTTCTTCCCTGGTGTTTCTTTTTCCTTCTCTTTTATTTCCTTTCTGATGAAACCATATTCAGGGCCTTCATTTTTTTTATGCCCTCTGTGACCCTTGAAGACAGTGGAATTCTGAAGAAATACTTGTTTCTTCTCCCTGATAGAACATAAGTACATCCATCTTTGCTTATTTCCATTCCAAATGCTCAAATCTGTTACCTTTATAGGTTTTCTTGACTCCTGTGCTTGCATTTCAAGTGTCTGCTCAGCTCAAGTCTTTTCATGAGGAAAGTTTGAAAGTCCTCTAATCCATTAAAAGATCATTTTACTTCCCTGTAGAACTATACTCGTTTTTGCAAGATAAACTGTTCCTGGTTCTAAGGTTTTTTTCTTTACCTTTTGGTATATTGTATTCCATTTTTTCTTTACCAAATAGTTGTAGTGTAGTCTTGTATGATCTTAGGAGCCTGAGGTGGCCCTTTAGTGTTTGAACTCTTTCTTTCAGTCTGTTTGGGATGTATTTTTTCCTTTGACTTGGAAATTTGGTGTTTTCTTTGACTTGGAAACACATTCTTCTGTGTTTTCAATTCACAGTTTCTTTCAGAAGTGAATGTTGGATTTCTTTTGCTTCCTGATTCTAATAGATCTGGATATTTTTCTTTTATTACTTCTTAAAATATGATACTGAGATTTTTTGGTTTGGTTTTATTTTTTGAAGGGAGGGTGGCAAAATTTCTTAAATTATTTCTTTTCAACCTGTTTTCCATGTCAGTTGCTTTTGATAGGAGATTTTTTCTAACTTTTCAGTCTTTTGACTTAATATTTCTTTTGTTGCATGGAATCATTGTGTTCTATTGTTCCATTTTATGTTTTGGACATCCACTACTTGGATAAGGTTGCCCTACTTTCCCTTCTGTTCTAAGCAACTTATTCTTTCCTCAAGAACTTTCATTTCATTTTATATCTCTTTATATTTCTTCAAGGTGCTCCTATAGTCTTTGTGATTAAGCCATTTCCCCCCCTTATAGCTCTGGAGTTACTCTCTTTTCTGCATTTATCTCACATGTTTCTTTTAGCCCTTATTTATTCTTCAGGTTTCTTCTGTTTGCTCATGTCTTCAGGCTCAGTTTCTGGATTGGGACTTTATTCTAGGGCCAGGAGCCATCCCTTCCTATACTCTTGGAAGGCATGGTCAGCCTTGTTTGGTACTTTCCCCTCTCTAGTACACGTGCCACTACTATTCTTGGTGGGTTTCTCTTTGTTCTTCTTGATCATTGTTCTATTTGGTATCCTTTTATATCTTTCATGGAGTGTTTGTTGGGAAAGTTGAGCTCCTTTAAGATAGTTCATATTACTATATTAATCAGAAGTCTTCCTTTGAAGAGATTTTTGTCAAATACCTTGCTGAAATTCAAGTTTACTGTGTCTCTATTAAAATAGCGTCTGTGAACTGAAAACAACAACAACAAAAACGAAAAAACAAACCCTTCTTTCTTGTAAGTCTCAGATTATTCACCTGGATTTTTATCATTTAGGGATAGATGAGGATTGTCTGTAGTTCTAATTGCATAAAAATGCATTCATTTTAATTTGACTAATATATATTAGTTTAATTAAATTCAATTAGTTTGCTTAAAGTCAGTCAAATTTCAGTTTCAAATTAAAGTCAATTGACTTCAATTAAAGTCAATTCCAATTGACTAATTAAGTAGGGGTCAGGCCAAAGTTTATCTTTATTCTCCTGCAGTTTGGGCTTGCTAAGCAAAATAGTATTTAAGTTGGTGTGTAGGGAGGGTCCACCAGGGGTGAGGAACCTGTGGCCTTGAGGTCACATGTGGCCCTCTAGGTCCTCAAGTGCCACCCTTTGACTGAATCCAAACTTCACAGAACAAATCCCTTTAATAAAAGGATTTGCTCTGTAAAAGTTGCCTGAGGTCCTGAGAATTGCTTAGCTCATTGCTTTTAAGGTTTCTCAAGTTTGCCTCATTTGATCCTCATAAAAGCCTTGCACAGCAGATAGTGCAAACACCATTATCCCTCAGAAAACTGAACCTAAGATAAAGTCAGAGGTATCAGAGGCAAGTAGACTGAACAATTCTGGTATGCTGCCAAATCAGATAAAAATGTAGTTGGGAAATGTTTGACAAAGTAAATAAAAATATAATACAACACAGATAATATTAATTTGTTGTTTTCTGAGTCAGTATGCTGCCCACAGGGATCCATTACTATTTGCGTTTGATACTGCTGACTTCAACAACTTGCCTGTGATAGTATGACAGAGTAAGTTGGCAAAACTAGGCCTGGAGCCTTGTGACCCCAAAGCCCTTTTTTTTTTTTTAAAGGCAGTTAGGGTTAAGTGACTTGCCCAGGGTCACATAGCTAATAAGTGTCAAGTGTTTGGTCTGAGGCCGTATTTGAACTCAGGTCCTTCTGACTTCAGGGCTGGTGTTCTATCCACCTAGCTGCCCCTCCCAAAGCTCCTAAAATGTATGTAGCCCCACATCTTGGCCTATATATAAGTACTAAATGGTAGTAAGGAAGCTTAATCTCCTTAAAAATATCCTGAAATTCAGAATTTTTACTGATTTATCAGGTTTTTTTCCCACCTACTCCAATTTAGTTCCCTTCTCAAGTGTGTAAAGATTAATTTTTTTATTCATTCTTTTATTGCATAGAGTGTGGGTAGACTTAGGAGAGGATCATTATTTTCCTATCAGAAGACATCTTAGATTATATTGTATTCCTAGGTTGTGGTGAGAAAAAGTCTATGTTAAATTAATAGTTTGTTAATATTGATTTATGAAAATTTTTATATGTGACCAGTTCTGTATTTATTTTGCCCCCAAGTTTTAAATTAAATTTAATTTAAATTTAAACTGAATTGAATTAAATTAAATTGAATAAAATTAAATTTAAATTAAATTGAAAAACTCAGCTGTGCTATATGTAGGTATTCAGCTTAGAAATTTGGATGTCATAATTATTTTAAAATACAATGTGACAATAAATTTTGTACCACAAAAATTATGGTCATTGTAGTATACTATACTTGATTTTATTTAATATGTTTGGATGTTACAGTTCAAAGATATATGGGGATGGGAATGCTGTTCCGAGGATTTTGAAGTTTCTCAAATCAATTGATCTCCAAGAACCACTACAAAAGAAGTTCTGCTTTCCCCCTGTAAAGGAGAACATCTCTAAAGACATTGATCATATTCTTGAAACCCAAAGTGCCTTGGCTGTTGATCTAGGTGGAACAAACCTTCGAGTTGCAATAGTCAGTATGAAGGTAATTTAATCTTAAAGTGGTCAGAATTAATTCTTCAGTACTTCAGTGCATCTGCAGTTTCATCAACGTGGGTACTTCACGGGAGTAGTTTGCAACCAATCTATGATTTCTTGACTTATGTGACTCTTGTCTCCATGTTCTTATTCATATTTGATGTTAAAACATTTTTAGCAAACAATGATAGGATGATAAGGTTGAAAATTATATCCTCTAGGGGCAGCTAGGTGGCTCAGTAGATACGCATCAGCCCTGAAGTCAGGAGGACCTGAGTTCAAATCCGGCCTCAGACCAAACACTTGACACTTACTAGCTGTGTGACCCTGGGCAAGTCACTTAACCCCAATTACCTAAAGAAAAAAAAAAGAAAAGTATATCTTCTATACCTTTTACCAGTATTTAATGTTTCAGAGAGAACTAAACAGTTAGGGTGTCCCAGTAGTTATTAACACATAAATTAAATTACTGAGTTTAGAAGAAAGAGTGAGAACAGATGATCAGCCTTTTACTTGGCTTATAAAGGGCATAAGGATTTTTTAGAGGCAGTTTGGCATAGTGTACATAGAGTCAGCCTCAAAGCCACAAAAACCTGGGTTCATATGCTGTCTGTCTAACCTTCAGGGAGTCACCTAAAACTCTCATTACTCTAGATAGCTCTCTAATTCTACAGGGTGCAGAGAAGGGGCCATCTGCTACATTGGTAGACATGGTTTCCTTACCTAGGAATTCTCTATGTCAGTAAAATCACAGATTCAGTCCTTCCTTAAAAATTTTTTGTGACTTAAGCTCATAATATTATTTAAGCCAAGATTAATATCACATGAGTTTCAAGTTAATTTATAACATACTAATAGACAATTATAAAGCAGAAATCTTTAACACCAGTTTAAGAATATTAATAGGAATTAAAGAATATTAATAAGAATTAATAATAATAAGTATGGTCATTAAAATAATAAATAAGGACTAAACCACAAATCTGAAATTGCTTTTTATTGTCATTAACTTGATACTAAATGGATTGCTTTTTCCTTCTCAGATCCAAATTACAGTTTCTGTAGGTTGCAAAAACAAGAGGTAAAAAGTTTAAGAATCATAGAATTGGAGAGAAATGACAAATGAATGAGTTACAAGTTCTACCACTTGGTAGCAGCAGTGCCTGGTCTTTATTGTCCATACATATTGTCTTCATCCCAAGCCTTTTTCCTGAGCTTCTATACTTCTTGGCTCTCTTATTCTCTAGTCTGACTCAGAGGCAGTTTTCTAGTTTCATATCTAAAGTCAATGATAAGTAAGAAATATCTTTCACTTGTACTATGGTAACTTGTTGTCCCCGACAAAAGTTCTACTCTAATGTCTCATTATTATTTAGAGGCAAGCTGCCTTCTGAAAGGCTGTCAATGGAGTGCAAGTTCTGGTTGATTCAACTGAATTAGAAAAATTTCCAAGTATTTTCCTGACTGTATCCTATGTCTGCTGGCTGAAGGACAGCTTAAGTGTAGAGCTTCATCACCACAACGTTGGCTGCTTAAGTAATATTTTTCCCCCTCCACAAAATGGCCCACGGAACAGATTAAAATATAATACACTCCTCAATTCCTTCTCCTTCTGCAGTGTGAGGGGGCAGATGCTCATGAACTAAGAATCATACCATTTTAAGATGATCCGTAACTATTAGTTAAACTTGGTGTTTTAAATCATTATAATATTTGCCCAGTAACCAACAAGTAGCTTATGTTCTATTTGGCATTTTTCCCTATGAATAAAACCAGAAGACATAAAGAACTTGCTTCTAAGTGAAAGGGTGGCTCACAGGTTCTCCTTAGGCAAATACAAGAATTGGAAGAATTTATTTCATCCTTCACATGAAGGAAATGAAAATCATCATTTCATGGAAATCCGAATCACAGAATTTCAGAGTTGGAAGAGATTTCAGTCACCATTTAGACCAATCTTTAGCTGGAAAGAGCATCCTTCCCACAGTGTTCCTGATATGTAGCCATCCAGCCTTAAAGATCTCAAGTGAAGGGGAACCCATGCTTGGTCAGTTCACCTTGAAGTGTTCAAAAGCTAACAGACCACCATGAACACAATCGAAGCTTATGCATCAACATCTGTTAAAGAGGATGAAGAAGTAGAAAAAAATCCATAAATAATTTAAGATCTTGCAAACCAAGTCAACATTTATCTTGCTGTTTGTTGACTACAATGTCAAGGTAATTATCAACGTAAGTGATTAAAAATCATGTCTGGAAATATCCAGGATCAATAAATAAAAGAATCCGAAAGTTATAGCCTTGTGTCTCTTAATCAGAAATACCTCAAAAATCAGTTGAGAAGGAAATGGATATGACAAGCATGGAACAAGATCACAAAACCAAATTTTACTATTTATCTTATTACACAATTAATGACTGGTTGCCTATGTTGAAGGCTTTTCAGAATTAATTGTCTTTGTACAGTCAGATCTGGTTAGAGCATTGATCAAAATCAATACCAAGTAAGAAGAAATTATAAAGATTAGAAGACAGTGCCCAAATTTTGACTCCTCCAACCTGACCTTTTCAAATAAGTTGGCACCTCCGGAAAAACAGGAAGGGGACAAAAGTAAAAGCTGACTTTTATCACCATTTCTTAATAATAGTCAAATGCAAAACAGTTGCCACAATAAGGAGACAAAAAGAGCATAAACACATTTTCGTATAGCTAGCACTTGCTGTCTTTTCCAAAGGGAACAGATATAACTCCCAAGGGCAGCACTAATTTAGAGTATGAATTCATTTGCAATTTATTAGAGAGGCAGACTATGGAAAATTGAAAGCAGTAATGTCTCACAAAACAGTGTAAGGTGATTAAGGGGAAATATCCCTGCAGAGAATTTAGAATGACAACCATCTGAGCAAGATCATGTAGTTGTTAGATGAATTTGGAAAGATAAGTTGATGTTATATAGAACAGATCTACCAGCCTTTCAATAACTTAGAACAATCAGTGCCTGTATATTGTAAGCGTTTAGTAAATGCTTTTTTCCTTCTTTCCTTCTTATGGTCATCTATACTCATTAGTAATCATATTGAATTTGACCTTCAGTGCTCAGTGTTGTAAAGGGACAACAGTACTTTAAAAAATGAAGTTGGAAAGGATTACTGGACTTGAGAAGATACTCAGAGAACAAATCTCTGCAAGAAGTGATAAAATTTAAAGGCTCTCAGCCTTGGATTCTAGAGACAGCTTAAAAGATGGCAAGTTTCCAAAACAATGGAAAAGATCATGGAATGCACTTAGACAAAACAGACAACTGAGGATAACAGCAAAAACTTCCCCACGTCTTTATTTTCTCATCTTTATAAAGTCTTTATGAGAATGGACTCTGCATGCATCAAGGATGCAGTGGCAAGTCTGCTGCGTTAGAAAACAGGGAACCCGGATTCACTTCCCAGCTCTGACATTTACTACCTGTGGTACTTTAGGCAAATCACTTAACTTCTTCAGGATTCTGTTTTTTTTCTTCATGTGTAAAATAAGCAGATTTGGAATTAGATGATTTCTAGGGTCCCTTTCATTTATAAATCTATGAATCTTAATGGAAATGTGAAAAGGAAATAGGCAAGCTTTCACAGGATGTTGCTGTATACTTTGTCTTCACAATTTTACAGTGGAATGAGAATTGTGTCTATTGTTTATTGCTGTTAAAAAACAGTTGGACTGACACATTCTCTGAAGGTCAGAGTCACTTTCTTTTCCCATCAAACCTTTGGAGAGACTGGAGATGATTTGGAAGCACAATCTGAGGACTCATAGAGCTATGCCTATTGTTGGCAGACTAGAGGTTCTGGAAGTCAGTGTGGGCAACTGCACCAGGAAATCAGACCCTAACGCTGTGTATGCCAAGGGTACCTGCAAAAATAACGGGAGAGAAGGGGCACAAAAAGGTCTTGGTGTCTACTGGGGACCAGCCCTATGATCTAAACATAAGTGGTACACGTTCTGGACGACAGACAAACCAAAGAGCATTACAAGCTATTGAGAAAGCAAAGGCCCAAACTTGTTGAGAACCTTGTTGTGTATGCAAATAATCAACTTGTTACCAAAGATATGAATGAATGGATTAACAACTAAAAAGAAAATGGCTGGAAAACAAGTCAAAGTAAGGATGTTGTCCACAAAGACCAACTCACTAAGCTGAATAATATGACTTGGGATGTGGCTGTTGAGTGAAAGTATGTTCCTGCTCATTTAAAAGGTGAAGGCAATGCTGAAGTGAAAGATTAGGAAAGTAACTAGAAATAAGTGAGAAGATTCAGTCAAGTACTTGCAGATACTGAATTTAGTTGAAAGTGTCACTCCATTTAACCCTGCAGTATGATTGCCAAATCATTTTCTCTTTACCTTTTTATCTCCTTGTCTTGGAGCTGTATTCCATGGCTGTCTTTGGCCATTTTCTTCATATGCTTTCTCAGTTTTTCTGTGTGCTATTTAAAAATTTTTTAAAATAATGCAGACAAGAAAGAAACGCATACTATCAACTGTAGAAATTGTTCACATGTGCGAATACTAAGAGAAAGGCAGATATCCTCATCTGGGTCAGGTCCAACTGAATTCTGACTTGCTCAACTCTTGCCCAAAACCTAGAACCAATCTAGACAGCTTGACTGCTCACATGACTTAAGCTAATGAAAATCTCAACTTTTCCTTCAGGTAAGATGGACGGCTAAACAAACCTTACCATCAGCCCTGATGCTGCTTTCTAAGGACTTCCCGGCTTTCCTTGTTTGTGTGTTCCTTGTCATCCTAGCTACTGACAATCTGAAGATGCGTAGCTGGGGCCGCGCAGTCTGTCCCTCTGGAGCATTCTTATGACTTTTAGAACTAAGACTTTTAAGTTTTTTCCTTTGCCCAGCAACCAAACTTTCTAATATGTTGTCTTCCCCCAACTTGACCATGGACCAGTCTTTCTCTAGTTGTTATCCCCAGTGCTGAGCATGGCACTTGGCACTTAGTAGGAATAGTTCAAAAAATGCTTTTTCAGTAATTCATAACGTGTAGTTTGTGACTTCCCTGACCCTTCCTGTAAGTGCCATCTTTACTTTATGAAATGAACACTTTTTTTTTCCAGTTAAGAAAAATCTTAAGGATTTCGCAAAGGTAGAAAAAAAAATCAGCAATAAGGAGGGACTCTGGGAAGAAGCCCCAAATGGGTGTTCAGTGATATTCCAATCAGTAATGATGTTGAATGCTTCGCATTTAAAATTTGTTTTTCCTGTTTTTGTAAAATGTGCTTTACTTTTACAATTCTGGATATTGGTTGCTCTTACAAGTTTGTAGAAATTTCTTAATAGATTCTGGATGTCAGAGTCAAATAATTAAATTGTTCCTGTTTAAAAAGAAAACAAAACAGTTAGAGGCACTAAAGGCATTTAACAACCTGCTCCAACCATCCTTTCAACATTTACTACTACATCACTCTACGATCTAGTTCATTAGCTTTTCTGCTATTCCTCTTGCATGACATTTCATCTTTCAGCTCCATACCTTTGCGCAGGCTGTCCTTTCGTGTCTGTAGTGTACTTCCTCCTCACCTTTGCCCTTCGTTTCCTTCAAACCTTAGCTTAAGCTCCACTTTCTACATAAAGCCTTTCCTGATGCCTCCAGATGCTGGTGCCTCTCCCCCTAATTACCATGCATTTATGTTGTATATACTTATATATGTATCATTTCCCCTGAGAGAATGTAAACTCCTTCAGGGAAGGTACTGTGTAATTTTTATTTCTGTATTCCTATTGCCCTGCCCAGTGCCTAGCATATATGTAGGTACTTAATAAATGCTGATTTAGGGGCAGCTGGGTGGTGCAGTGGATAGAGCACTGGCCCTGGAATCAGGAGGACCTGAGTTCAAATCGGGCCTCAGACACTTGACACTTAATATAACGTGTGACCCTGGGCAAGTCACTTAACCCCATGGCCTAGCAAAAAACAACAACAAAATAAATGCTGACTTATTGACTCAGTAGAGTAAAATACAGCCCTAAAGATTTTCCTTTTAAAAGAGGTGCTTTCTCATGCTTGCCCAACTCCAGAAAGAGAGTTGATAGACTCAGGGTACAAAATGAGACCTATATTTTTTGGACATGGCCAATGTGGGAATTTCTTTTACTTGACCATGCATATTTTTAAAAGGTTTTGGTTTTTATTTTTATTTTTCAGTGGTATGGGGGTGTAGAGTAAATAGAAAGGAAAGAAAATAGATTTTTGTTCATTAAAAAAAATAAATTTAAGAACTAAAAAAGTACTCCTTTATGCAAGAAATCATGACAGGTATAACCCTAGAAACAATTTTTACCTGTTGACCCACTAAGTATCAACATGTATCAAGGCATAAAATAAAGGGATGTGTGTATCCATTAAAAGTATCCGCCACTGTCCAGGAGGACACCCTGTACACAGTCTAAATAGAAGAGGAATTGTCTCTTGAGGGGGAGATATTAAAGATGCTTCTATTTATATATGGCATTGTGCTGATCATATCAAGGCTCCAAATATTACAGGAACACTATTCTTTAGTGAGCTCCACGGTCATTCAAGAGACTGGTTTTGGAAAAACAGTGTTTGAAGGCCATGACATATAGTTGGATGTGTGTCTGACTGAAATATTTATTTAATCAATACAGATAAATGCAGCAGAAAGAAAATACCACTTGGCCTTTCCATCTACCATGAATGAAACCTTCCTTTAATGTCTTCTCCGATTAGTGTGAACTCATTGAGAGCAAGGTCTTTTTTCCTTTTCTGTTTGTATCCTAAATGCTTATCAAAGTGCTTGGCACATGGTAAGTGCTTAATAAATGATTTTCCATTTCCTTTCCCCTCTCCCACCCCTCAAGACAGTGAGCAGGGACTTAAATTGAATGGAGATTAAGTTGGATTGCATTGGGAAATTATACAGCAATTTCTGTGCCCGCCGCTGCCATAAACAGCCTTTAAAAAACAATGCGTTCTCCCAGTGATGGAATGTAGCTATGAACTATGGAAGACCAAAATCTCAGAAGAATTGCAATTGTGGGTGACTTACAGACAATGAAAAGCAGATAGTTATGTTCCAGCCAAACCAGTCATTCCTAGTCCGTGGTATTCCATGCCCTCCCTCCTTGCTGCTGTTCTGCAGTCCCTGGGATGCATCACCTCCTTACTACATGTTCTAAGCTTGCAAGCTCCCTTTAAGATTCAGCTCAGGTGCAACTTTATACATACATAGCCTTTCCAGATCTCTCTAGTTGTTAGTGCTCTTTCCTTCTCCAAGAAATTACGTCGTATAAATTTTGTGTTTCTCTTTGTACGTGTTGTTTAAGGAAATGTTAGCTCCTGTAGGCAGGGCATTTTTGTCTTCAAATCCCAACTGCCAAGCATAGTGCCTGGCACATAGGCACTCAATAAATGTTGGCCAAGTTGAATAAGCAGGTTGCAGCATAATAGCAATGATTATTTTGCACATGAGAAATGATATAAGGAGCTTGACGTTTATCTAGGGAGATTGTGGCATAACTATGGATAGCAGTGGTAGTCAAAAATTTTAAAAGAACAAAAAGGAAGGCCTCCATCATGGGTAAATCCTCTATGGAAGATTTACAGAAATACATGTACAAGAATCCCACAGGATGAGCAGGCCTGGATAGGGTGCAGTCTATGTTTTTAAAAGGAATAACCACACCAATGAGAACACATCTTTTGAAGTAAGTGTTTGCAGTGTCAGCAGGTTATAGGTGGAAATGTCCCATACATAGCTGGAAATAAGGGTCTAGTATAAGACAGATTAGGGACTTGGGATTCAGATGCATCAAAATGGCAGTTGAAACCAAAGGAGTGAATTGCCAAGGGCAAGAATATAGAGGGATAGTAGACAAGGACTAAGGACAAGGCTTTGAAGATGGCTAACCTTAAGAGAAAGAGGAATGAACTAAGGAGAAAGAGAATGAACAGTTAGAGACATAGGTGGCAAACCACAGTAAGGTCATGTTTCTATGAAACAAATAGAAGAAAGAGAATTCCAGGAGTGAGTAGTCTGCAGTATCACAAGCTGCTGAGTAGTCAAGGAGGATGAAGACTGAATAAACTCAGTTGGATTTCATGGCCTATCATTTAGATGAAAAAATAAGAAGGGGGCATCTGGTTGATTTGCTTCAAGCTATGTAAAATTTTGGATAAACCAATGTGACTTAACAAGGAATTTTAACTGGACTCACTGATTTTGTAGTGCTGTTTATTGTAGAGCTATCCTCAATGTATGCCGTGCTAAATCTTTGGATTATCAATCTGAATCAGTGACCATTTTTTATCCTTGGTATATAATATTTTTAATACGTTCCACTTCTTACTGGCTTTGGTCTCCTTTTTAGGGTGAAGTAGTTAAGAAGTATACTCAGTCCAATCCTAAAACCTATGAAGAAAGAATTAAATTAATTCTACAGATGTGTGTGGAGGCTGCAGCAGAAGCTGTAAAACTAAATTGCAGAATTTTGGGAGTGGGTGAGTTTTTATTTTTAATTTTAAATACCTCTATACCAGTGCAGAGTAAGTTTATTAGATTGTAAGATATGCTATGCTCTGATTGTATTTTTCAGTTAATAAACAATATTAAATGACAATTGTTTGATAATGGGAATAAGCATTTTTATAATACCTATTGTGTTCCAGCATAGCATAGCACCACTTTGCCAAGAACTTTTACAAATATTACCTCATTTGAGTCTCACAACAACCCTATGAGGTAAGTGCTATTATTATCCCTATTTTACAGATGAGGAAGTGGAGGCAAACAGAAGTGAAGCGACTTGCCCAGTAAGTGTCTGAGGTCAGATTTGAAATCAAGTCTTCCTGACTCTGGGCCCAGCACTCTGGGCTGCCTCTGCCTTTGTGACAGTATGTGAAGTAGGAATCCAGAGAAGGAGTAGCTTAGTGCCGTCTGGTGTCATCATAGAATGGCTCACAAAAGGAGATATCCTTGAAGGATGTGGTAGGATTTGGACAGGAGTAAGCGGAGAAGAGCAAAGTAGGGCATTTCAGGTTGGAGAAAAATGATGAAGGCACAAATCGAGGAAATGAATATGGTGTACGTGAACAGGCAAATTATTTAAGGACTTCTTCACATAAAAGAGGGGGTTGGCTCGTTCAATTTGAAGTCCTTCACTGAATGTTTTATTCTAGTTTCCCTAGTTCTTTAAATGATCCAGTCTTGCATTTCAAGGACCTAAAGGATGTCAGTCCTCATTTATTACCATGTCTTTTCCCAGAATTAAGTAACATGTGAAAGAATAATAGCTCACATTTATGTAATCTTTTTTAGTTAGCAGAGTGCTGTGAGATAGGCCATCTGTTATTAGGCCCATTTTGTAGATGAAGAAACTGAGGCTTAGAAAGATTATGTGACTTACTTGTAATCATGTGGCTAACAAATGTGAGCTGAGGTTCAAACCTAGGAGTTCTGATTCCAAGTTCTTTATTCTTTCTATTATGTTAAGAGACACCATTAGCCAACACTTGCTGAAGGTCATATTATGATAATAAAAAATAAAAATATATTGCATTATCTGTTCTTTGCATAGCATGGGCTGTCTGCTCAGTTATACACACCTCCTGTTCTGGAAGGGTTCACAGTGGTCAGTGCCTTTTAATTAAATAATGGATTGCTGGTTTTACTTTCTTGTAAAGATATCTTTAAACTAGGTCAGTATTGCTTTGTCAGTATTGTTGTAGAAGATACTACAATTTTTTCATTTTTAGCCTTTTAAAAAAATTTGGAAAGTGGAACCATGGTAGGGAGAGTTTGGTACAGAAATGCTCAGTTTGGGCATTGTTTTTTAAGAATATAGATACTGTAAAAAGTAATACCCCAAACTTTATGAGAAATGGTGAAGTAGTTAGACACTTAGGGATAAGCTGCCCACCCTCTCCAACAAAAAGTAGAAATGATTCTAAATAGAAAAAAAGAGAAGTTAAAAAAAGGAAAATCTTTTTTAAAAACCTCATAAACAAGACTCAGCAACTGCTAGTCTACCACCAAGGTCACTTGAGCCATCTGATACCTGCTTCTGGTACCACAGGACATTGATACATACTCTATGTGGACTTTAGTGAAGAAGTTAGTAGATGGGGAGAGGTGCCTCCCTCCACTAATGAAATAGAGTAGAAATTTTTTTTTTTTTAGAAATAAAAGCAGATGTCCATTACAAACAACACTCGAAAAAATGTTCAACCGCACTAATGGTCAGAAATGCAAATTAAAACAACTTCAAAGTGTTGATTTATACCTATGAGACTGGCAAAAATAACAGTGACAAAAGTCAATGTTGGTAAGATTGTGGAGAAACAAGGTATACTCATATATTGCTGGCAGGATTGCAAATTGATTTTTTTTTTCTTTTTGGTGAGGCAGTTGGGGTTAAGAGACTTGTCTAGCGTCACACAGCTAGTAAGTGGCAAGTGTTTCAGGCCTCATTTGAACTCAGGTCTTCCTGACTCCAAGGCCAGGGCTCTATCCACTGCAGCCACCTAGCTGCCCTGCAGATTAACTTTTGAAAGCCAATATAGCAGTATTTATCAAAAGTCACAGTTGTGATCATACGGTATATTAGGATATACACTGAGTATTATAAAGAAAAAGGATATCTGTTGACGTGTGTGTGTATGCATGATATATAATCAGCACTTCTTTTGCATTTGCAGAGAATTACATACAATAAATGCCCAACAGTTCATGATGACTAACACTCTGTTATATCAATGTAATAGAATGTAAAAATGCTTATTAAATATAAGTATATTTAATATATGATAAACATATTTATTAAAATGTAAAACTTCACTAGGACTTTTGTAAAGTAATATAAAGACATTTGGATACAGATATATATGTGTGTGTGTGTATGTATGTAGTATTTGAAATGAAGCAAAAGCAAAACCTTTAAAAGTTGTATACTGCCAGTGATATAAAAAGAAAAATATGTGCATAGATACAAAGAATAAGGTGATATGGACTCTTAAAAGAATGCATTTATGCATATATAGTTATGAATGTCTAATTTGTTCTGTTGCATCAAAGCATAGTAATTTTAAAAAATAATGCCAGATTACTTTCCAGTGTCTCCTATTTTGTATCAAAATAACCTGCTTCCAATGTTTTAGGGTTTTCTTTTTTTCTCATACAGAACACAGCCTCTGTTTTTTGTTGTCTTTTCAGGAAGGGAGGGCTCTGCCATCTGTACCTACCCTTAAGTTACTTTGGTCTTTGCTTTGTTCCACATGAGGGTGTGAGGACTTTGGCCATCCTCCCCTGCACTAATATTACAGGCACCCTCTAGCTTCCACATACCCAGTTTATGAACGAACACCCCCACTTAAAAATGATCGGCCTTCATTGTGCCCAGAGAGCAGATGGGATTTCCCCTCATCCCAAGTTCTATAAAATTCCAGGCAAGGAGATATATTTTTTGAATTACTTTTTCCCTTCACACTGGGGTGTGTGTGAGAGGGGAGGGAGAAATGAGAAAGGGAAGGCAAAGTGTAGTATGCCACTATTTTTCTTCTTGTCTGATAGGCAAATGTGACCAAAGAGGCTACACTGTGGAGTGCATTTCCCCCCCATAGAAATGGCTTTATAACTAGCGGTTGGTTTGCAGGCTTCCCCAGAAAAACCCATTCTAACACCTAATGTACCTGAAACATCGAGAGGAAGAGGAAGGGGCACATTGCACAGGAGTCAATCACAGCATCGTGGATTTAGAAAGTACCTCAGAGGCTATCTTGCCCAATCTCCTCATTTTACAGATGAAGAATCTGAAACCCAGAAGGGTCACATAGATAGTGACAGGCAGGATTTGAATCCGGCTTGTCTGACTCTAAATCCACTGGTCATTCCACTTTATTATGCAACTTGAAAGGAAATACAAATTAATTCCAGGTATATTTTTAGTTACTTGGCTTTGCTGGCTAGTTGGGAACTTAATTACCATTTATGTTTCTTTAGAGAAATACATACCAAATTTCAAACTTGCCAACTATTTTTGGAAGTATATCCCATTTGTAGAAGTTGTAAACTGCCTATAACAGAAACTAAGCTTGGTATAGCGGGTGAAAGATGAAATAACTGAGGAAACAAAGGTCTGAGCTTCTGAGCATATAAATTTATTAAGCAATACATGCTAGTTGCTTAACAAACTGGGAGTAGACCTCCTCAGCTTTGGCTCTGGATCCAAAATACGGGGAGGAGGGGAGATTTTTATGCCTTAGAAACAATCAAATAAGACTAATTAATTAAAAGAAAACAATTAACCAGTATACAGTAGGTAATCTGATTTCTAATTGGAGGAAAGATTAGGGACTTTCCAAGTTGAGAGAAGAAAAATAAACAGGTAAAATTTATTGAAATCAGAAAAAGAGGTGTCTCACTCTCCCTGAGGGTCTGTATTCAATCAAAGTAACATGGAAGCAATTGATTGACCAGCATGGGGCCAGTTTTCAGATAAGATACGTGGATTGCTTGAAATGTATAATTATGAGAAGATTCCTTGCATCAGTCTTTGGGTCTGACTGGGTTTCTGGTCAGCCTAATCTAGTTAAGAATCTCTGAGCAACAGGTAACTTGGTTCAACTTCACAGCCACAAAAGATAGGTTCAAACAATGCAACAAGGTTTTCTCGCAATTCCGACAGTTGAAGAAAGTTTTCTCACAAGACAGAAATTGGACTAGACCCATAATTGAATAGAAGGGGAACTGAGCTAGAACTGAGCAGAATTGAGTCACAAGATGGAGTCAATGTGGTTCACTCAATTCTTACTACCACTTGCTGTTCTAATTCCCTCATCGGAAAACCAGATTAGTTCTTTAAATGGTTCCCCAACAACGTTATTTTTTCATTTAACATCCACAACTTTTATAGCCACCTCATATTTCATTGCCAGTCCTGTGTAGGTACTAACCACACTGAAGCTTAAGTGAATTAAGTTATTAAGCGTTCTTTCTTCTTTCTTAGAAATATTATCTGATTTTTGTGTATTTTTGATTGTGGTCAGGTATTTCCACAGGTGGACGTGTGAATCCTCGGGAAGGAATTGTACTACATTCTACCAAACTTATTCAAGAATGGAGTTCTGTGGATCTGAGGACCCCCATCTCTGACACATTGCACCTCCCTGTCTGGGTAGACAATGATGGCAATTGTGCTGCCTTGGCAGAAAGAAAATTTGGTCAAGGAAAAGGACTGGAAAACTTTGTGACACTCATCACAGGCACAGGTGAGAGAAGGAAATCAGTGCGGCTGTTTATTTAGGAAGTCTCTGACACAGATGTAGTGATTTCTTGAAGAAAACATCTTAGTCCCTTGAGCAGTGTGGCTCAGTGAACATGGATCCTTTTCTGTTTGTCACCTTATGCTGATTCCTAAGCCTTCTTGATGCTAGTGCCTTCCCTCTGTCCATTCTCTGTAATTTATCTCGTAGACAGCTTGTGTACACAGTTGTTTGTATGTGGTCTGCCCCTTAGACTACGAGTTCCATGAAAGCAGGGGCTGTTGTGAGCGTTTCTTTCTTTCCCCACACTTAGGATGGTGCCTGGCACATAGAACCTGCTTAGTAAGTGCTAGTGACTGACAGACTGATTCTGCTGTTCCCAGCTCCTCCTGTCACTAACTGATACTAAAGTATTAAGTACTGTTCATATCATCTTCATCATCATCATCCAACATTATCCTGGCTTATCCTTGTAGAGCACTTTGTGGGGGTGAACTTGTTTTCTGACTTACTTTCCATTTCTACAATAAGATTTCTTAGTGATGCACTTTATCTATTAAGTATGTTCCAGAAAAACTGAGTATGAAGTGAATATGTATCCAATAATATTTTCCCATGAATGCTTTTCATCAAAAGAATAGAGGATTTCTACAAAAATTATTTTGTCCTAAATTTAATAAAAATAACAATTATGACATTCATTTCAAGGAACAGTCTGCTTTCATCAATGGTCTATTAAATGAATAGACTCCCCAGCACAATTCCTACAAGAAGTTAGATGGATAATCAAGCCATATGATTTTTGCATGTCATTAAAACTACACATATTAAAATATTCTGCAGTTAATGCTGTTTATCAGGATTCCTAACTGATTTTGTCATAAACCCCTGTTGTCACTAGGAAAAAAAAATACAGACTCTTTTGGTATTAAAGTCTTTCACAGTTGGATTCCAGACTGTCTTTCCCAGTGATTAGACATGACTTCCTTTCCACACAAACAAGCCTGTTTGCTTTTCCCTATACCCGACACTCTATCTCCCCTCTACAGCCATCTCTCATGCTGGTGTGCTCTTTGTCTTCACTTATGCCCACCTTCAAGGCCCAGATCACTTCCTTACAAAGGACTCTCTCTCTCTCTATCGTGTATTTTGTATACAGTTACCCCTTCCACATCACAGGGGTTAGAGGCATGGTGCAGGGCACCCCACCCAATCTGGAAAATCCGCATAAAATATTTTGGCTCTCCCTCCATACCAGAGAAGTCTGAATTATTATGGCATTAAAAGATAAAATATGTTGATACTATACAATACTATACATATATTTTATGCATTTCAGAGTTTCTAAATTTTTTCTGTGTCACATGCTGGCCTTCACATGGCATCTGTAGCTTTTGCAAAACTCCCCAAAAATTCCCATATAATTTCTTATGCTGACCCTTGATATATCGAACCCACAGTGGGGAAAGTCATGCTGTGGAAGGGATAACTTTATGTCCCGCATTTACGTAACTGTGAACATGTTGGATCCTCCAGTAAATAATAAGCTCCTTAAAGGCAGAGAACTGTCTCACTTTGGTGTTTGTATCCCTTGTGTCTAGCGGAAAGCAGGTGCTTAATAAATGTTTGCTTATTGATTGATTACCTGTAGTGCATCATCTATCTAGACATTCAGTTTAATAGGTAGAATAATAGAAATTTGGTCCATCTAAGAATAATAAAGTCTTGGTGAATTGGGATACTTCCTAACAAAAGTCTGATTTATAAGTAAATTGGCAGCTTGTTAATTTTCAATGGGCATGATATCTATATAGAAAGTTAGAATGCTCATGTTTCCTACAAAAGCACTTCTAATGTTAGTGGCTTGTAAGCATCTTACTACCATTAGCCAGCTTTATTCAGTCTCCTGTGGTTCTCACATACCTGAGTCTGCTCTCCTTGCCCTGCAGCAGTTTTCTGAGGTTCATGTGCCCAGCACAACTTCTCACTTCCTTCACTTTGCTTCACTTCAGCAAATCTCTGTTTTTCCCAGTTCCTCTGCTTCTAGTGAAATAAATGCCTCTGCTCACTCCTCTTGCCTTTTCAGTTTATTACTTGGTTTGTCTTCATGCATGTCTTTTGCATGTCTGCAGAATGAAGGGTCTGAATTAGTTGTTTTCCGAGGTTCCTTCTGACTCTAGCGCTAAGATCCAATGATCCTGTGCCTATGCTTATTTCAATGCCAGTGTGACCTTTGCCTGACTTACCTGTTTAGCAACCAAATTCTTAGTATTCCCTCAGAAGTCAATTATTCTTTTAGGACAGAGACTTATACTCCAGTAACACCTCATTTATCTAACAATCTCAACCATTTGGGGGTTTCGGCAAGAACCAGTAAGGCCTCTGGACAGTCAGAGCAGATGTTACAAAATCTTTGTGGTAAAGCTCTCACACTTTAGTCACAGGAGGAAACTTGAGCCTTTTGCTTAGAGCCTATTTACTTTTATTTTAAATAGGTGTGGTTATTTGGTTTCTCTGCCCCATAGCACAATAGAAGCAGGAAGTAGAGGGATGAGGAGGTAGCTGCCAGCCAGTCTCCCTTAGCTGATGGCCTCCTTTAAGGAAGGACACAGAGACCCAGGGACTGGAGAAGCATCAACCCCAGAGAGCTGCACACCTCCAGAGCCCCTGAAGTCCTTCCAGAATCACTGGGACCGATGAGGATGGCACTGACATCTGAATGCTTTTCTCTCTCTAGGAATCGGTGGTGGCATCATTCATCAGCATGAACTGATACATGGTAGTTCTTTTTGCGCTGCTGAGCTTGGACACCTTGTGGTGTCTTTGGATGGACCTGATTGTTCATGTGGGAATCATGGATGCATTGAGGCCTATGCCTCTGGGATGGCCTTACAAAGAGAAGCTAAGAAACTACATGATGGTATGGTGGCTTCTGCTGAATAGGAGCATAAGGTTTTTGTAGATAAAGATAAGTTGTTCAGAATATATAAGTCAAATAGGAAGATACAGCACTGTTATTTTCATTTTTTTTAGCATTAACTTATATATAAGATCTAGCACATTTGTCCAAATATAGCCCACCCCTAAATATAGACCTTACCCTAAAAATATGTTCTCTCTGGGAAAAAAAAAGAAGTATACAATGAAAAACATTTACCATATAAAAAACTCCAACCAATTTGGAAGAAATCTTATTTTTTTCTAAAGGTAAATGTTTCATATTTATGGAAGTGGAACCTAGAGTTGATATGTTCTGGCCGCATCTGCCATAATCCCGAAACTCCTGATGTCTTTGCCCTCAAAATAACAAAAACAGTAATAATATCTAGCATTTATATAGTACCTGCTGTGTGCCAGGCGCTATGCTAAGTCTTTAAAAATATTATCTCATTTGATACTCTCAACAATGCTGAGAGGTAGGTGCTGTTATTATCTTTATTTTACAGTTGAGGAAACCGAGGTAAACAGAGTTTAAGGGACGTGCCCAGAGACATGCAGCTAGGGAGTGTCTGAGGCCAGATTTGAACTGAGGTTTTTCTGACTCTGGGCCCGGCACTCTATCCACTGCACCAACTAGTTGTGGGCTTTCATTAAGGAGGCCAGTACAGATGGGGCACTCTCATTTCCCCCTCTTTCCACTTCCTCTCTCACTCTACCACAGGGTCATCCCATCCAGATTAAATGTAAAAATTGCATTTCGAGAGCCCTGAGATGCTAAGGACTTATACTTTGTGAGAGAAATGTTTTGACAGCTCTCCTTTCCCTCTAATAGCGTCTAATATACTAGGTACTATATATATCTATATATACCTAATATACCCTCTAATATAATAGGTGTATTCATACACCATCCCCTTCTCTCCCATCTTTTCTACAAGTCCACAACATTTTGTCATCCTCATTTGCAATTCTTGCCACATAATTTCTGCCACATCTGACAAAATATTTTAACACTGGAAATTTGTAGAAACTGCTTTCTCCCCTCATGCTGCCCCATCTCACTCTTCCCCAGTCTTAGGTTCTTTGGGGGTTATTTCTCTCACCCTAGGACTGATGAAAAACTCCCCCAATAATACCTGATTGGAAAGACAGAGAGTATGTGCCCTCCAGAACTTCTCCCTGCTTCCCTGGACTTCGGCAGCCAGTACCTGCACTCTCAATTGTCCTTGCCTTGCTGCACTCTGGGAGCAACTCCCTTTATTGTCAAGTTGGAAGACCTTTCTGCTCTTTAATTCACTACTCCTGCCAGTTCCCTTGACTTCTCTTTGAAAAGGTTTCATTAAGACAACAATGGACATCAGCATAACCAACTAAGCTTACCTCATCACTACTTAAAATCGTTTCAGTACATTAAATAGAATAACTTTCATACACTTCCCCTGAATCCTCATCTGCATTCTTTGTCCATGCATTCTCCTTCACTGTTCCTCTTCTAAGGCCGCAGTTAGTGTGTGCTCTATTATTCCTCTGCCTAATTTTCTGCTCTTTGACCTCAGACTTCATAGTTGCCTTTGGAACTTAGAAGCCTTGGGATCATCTTTGTCCTAATGTGAACTGCAGTATCAGCCCAGGGAGGAGATGCCATGGGATCCCTTCCTGCTACTCACCCTAGTTGCCCATCTCAAGCCCCTGGGATGTGGGAAGGAAAGTCGATGGGTTTTATAGTGAGATCCCTAACTCTAAGCAACTTAGGGCAGGGGTGTAGACCAGTTATAAGTGGAAGTCATCTGTCTCCCTTATCTGACAATAATAGCAGGAAGAGGTATGATGACATATTCTCTTCTGAGAATGAACACAGGTTGATAGAGAAGTTGTTTCTACTGCTTCAGATGATACCAGAGGTACAAGATATCTAATTTGTTTCTAAGAGAATAATTATAGACTGCATTCAGGTTTTATACAATCCAGATTTGGGAAAAAGTAGAATCTATATTTGTACCAATATGGTATTTATAATCAATTCCAAAGCTCTGCTTAAAAAGTGAGTATGTGATAGCTGGTTATCTGGGCAGTGCTTGATTTTCACCACATTGTCTTCTCAGAAACCATGTTATTATTTTTAATCTTGTTTTATTGCTGTCTTTTATTTTTCTATCACCTTCATTTTTTAATATTCGCCTTCTGCCTCCACCATGCAACAAGACAAATATTAGAAGAGAAAGAAAAAAAGGCAATTCAACAAAACTGATCAACACATAGATCAGTTGTGTCTTATACTGTGTGTAGTATTCCATGCCCATAGTACCACACCTTTACAAAGAGAGGAGATGTATTTTCTCAACTTCTCTAAGGTCTAGCTTAGTCATTACAATTATAGAAGGTATGATTTTCTTTTTAATTTACATCATTGTAGTCATGGTGTATATTACTTTCCTGGCACTGCTAACTTTATTTTTCAGCAATTCATCCAAGTCTTCCCATGCTAAATTCCATGTTTTTAAATAGAGTTTCATAAAGCAGGATGTATTTTCCCTATGGTAACAATAAGGAATGAGGCAGTATGGTATAGTGGACAGAAGGCCCACAAGATTCCAGTTCAAGTCAGGCTTCTGACCCATACTGCCTCTATGACTGTGAGCAAGTCATTTAAGCAAATCTCTAAAATTATAAGTTGTAAAACAGGTGATGATCTGCATTAGTAGAGGGAACTTTTTTACCAGGAATTCTCTATGCCAATGAAATCACAGGTCAGTACCAATCTGATAGAGGCATAGAAGAGCCGGGCAATAAGCTGGGAGAAATCTGAGGAAGAAGAGGCAGGATCAGTTAGGAGGCTATTATAGTAGACTAGGCAAGAGATCAGGGCCTAAACTAATCAACAAATCAATTTAATTGAACAAGCATTTGTTGACTGTTTGCTAAGTTCCAGATGCCAGGATTAAAAACCAATAGCCTCTGTCCTTAAGGAACTTACGTTCTACTTGAAGGCAGGAGAGAATTTTAACAGGATTGAGGTGGTTACAGTACGAATAGAGAATAGGTCAAATGCAAAAGATATTGTGGAGGTGGAAATGACAGGATTTTTCCATTTATTGTGTATGTGGGCTAAGGGACAGGGAAAAGTAAAAGATGAATGTTATGGTTATAAGCCAAATATATCCCTGAGGAGGTCAAAAACAAAGTTTTCATATGCAATAAAATATTCACAGAAGTGTTTTTTGGTGGTGGCAAAGCATTGGAAACAAAGTAGGTGTCCATCATTTGGAAGATAGCTAAACAAACTGAAGTATGTGAATGTAATGTAATAAATTCTGTGACATAAATGATAAATATGAAAAATTCAGAAAAGCATAGAAAGATTTATATGAATTGATGCAGATTACAGTAAGCAGATCCAGCACAATATATACAATGTGATGGAGTAATATTGTGCTATAAGAAATGATGAGGGGGATGTTTTCAGAAAACCTGGGAAGATTTATATGAACTGATACAAAGTGAATTGAACAAAACCAGGAGAACATTGTACACAGTAGCAGTAATATTGTAAGGGTAATCAACTGTGAAACACTTAGCTACTCTGATCAAGACAATTCCAAAGGACCCACAATGAAAAATGCTATGCACCTCCAGAGACAGAACTGATGAACTCTGAATGCAGATTGAAGCATACTGGTTTTTACTTTTTTTGCCTTTTTTTGTAGAACATGGCTAATAAAGAAATGTTTTACATAACTTTACATGTATGATGGTATCATATTGCTTGCCTTATCAAAGGGGGGGGCAAGGCTACAGGGAGTGAGAATTTGGAACTTAAAAATTTAATAATGTTAAAAAAATATTTAAAAACCAATATATACTATGTAAACATAAAGAATAATAAATTGAAACCAAATGATGTGTTATTATAATGACCAAGCTTGCACTTGGAGAAAAGCTAAGAAAATGCATCTCCTCTCCCTGCAGGACAGAGGTAGGGGACTATGGGTGTGTGACAGTACCTCTACTGACAGATGTAGTTGATGTATTGATTGGTTTTGCTGAACTGCTTTTTTCCCTTTTTTTTTTCATCTTTATTGGTCTCCTGATTATAAGGGAGGGGAGAAGAATATATCCAGAAATGAATATGATAAAACAACAAAAGGCATCAGTAAAAGTACAATTTTAAAAGAGGTAACAAACTCAATACT